AATTATTTTTGTATTTAACCCAAAAAATTCTCTAAAATCTTGATCTAATTCTTATTTCCATTTTTACCCATGGCTTCCCAAGATATCCACTTATCCTTGCATTCTCTGGTTGCTCAAAGCCCACTTATCTTGACCCAAAATTCAAAATTGAGTTGGGTCAAAACACCCCCAAAATGTCAAAGACAAAAAATGACAGATGAACAAATGAAAAATTGGCATGTCAAAAATATCAGCTTGGTTTGAGCCCCACTCGATCGCAATTCCTCTTCCCCTCTCATCTTTTTATTATATGAACCCTAATTCACCCCTCCTTTGCTACCTACTTAACCCAATAAGATGGTAGAATTGTGAAGGAAAAAAAAAAAAAAAACTTTACCTTTAAAAGAAAAGAAAAGAAAAAACCATCCATCACTTAAAAGGTCTAAAAAAATTTACTTTTTCCTCATCTTCGAGAAAAACCCATTGGAAATTTCACATTTTGTTTTTCGTTGGGCTGTAAACTATTTTACTGCAGTTTTTTTTTTGAGGTGATGGAAAATTCAAGTTTTCCGGAAAATGATACAGTCGCCGACCATGTCAGCTTAGAGAATGAAGAGGAAGTGAAGGTGAAAAATGAAGAGAGTGAACGGAATTTTCCAGGGAACCGTTGGCCAAGGCAAGAGACTTTAGCTTTGTTAAAGATAAGGTCTGAAATGGACGTTGCTTTTAGAGACTCTGGCGTCAAGGCTCCTCTCTGGGAAGAAGTTTCCAGGTTTGCTTGCTTTTTCTTTCTACTTTCTTCTGAACTATCTTTGATTTTTTTTCCTGGAGAAAATTAACTGAGAAATGCAGGAAAATGTGGGGAATATTTTTCTTTTTATATGTTGGGATATTGAATTCCTTCTTGTTTGATTATACTGTTTTGAAAGAACTAGTAGAGCTATTTAATGCAGTAAAAAATTTTTATCAGTAAACAGTTCTTTTTTTTTTTTTAAAAGGAATCTATGTTCGAGTGTTTCTATCTGTTTGTTTTAATTTCACTCTTTAGGTTCAATAATCTTACCTATCTTTGAAATTTTAAGTTACTTAAGCCCCTGTTTATTACATTAATTTGTCAAAGTAAAATAATTAATTTTAAGGTGCAACAATGGGGTTGTATCAACAGGAAATTGGCTGAGCTTGGATATAACCGAAGTGCCAAGAAATGTAAGGAGAAGTTTGAGAATATCTACAAGTACCATAGGAGAACCAAAGAAGGTCGAGCTGGAAGATCGAATGGCAAGAATTATCGGTTTTTTGAGCAATTAGAAGCATTGGATCATCATCCTTCCTTGCTTCCACCTGCTACCAGAAATATTAACACCTCAATAGAACCTTTGAGTGTTATCCATGATGCAGTTCCATGTTCTATCCAAAACCCGCCTTTGAATTTCGATCAAACCTCTACCTCGACTACTTCGTCATCGAGTAAGGAATCGGATGGGACGAGAAAGAAAAAGAGGAAATTGACAGAGTTTTTTGAGAGGTTGATGAGGGAAGTGATGGAGAAGCAAGAGAATTTGCAGAAGAAATTAATAGAGGCAATAGAGAAAACTGAACAAGATAGGATGGCAAGAGAGGAAGCATGGAAGATGCAAGAATTGTCTAGGATTAAGAGGGAACGCGAGCTATTGGTGCAAGAGAGATCAATTGCAGCAGCTAAAGATGCTGCTGTGCTCGCATTTCTACAGAAGTTTTCAGATCAAGCAACCTCGGTGCAATTGCCTGATACCTCATTCCCAGTTGAGAAAGTTGTTGAGAGGCAAGAAAATAGTAATGGTAGCGAGAGTTATATGCACCTAAGTTCTTCTCGATGGCCTAAAGATGAAGTGGAGGCTTTGATAAGACTGAGGACTAATCTTGATTTGCAATATCAAGACAATGGATCTAAAGGCCCTCTATGGGAGGAGATATCAACAGCAATGAAAAAGCTTGGCTATGATCGAAGTGCAAAGAGGTGTAAAGAGAAATGGGAGAATATGAACAAGTACTTCAAAAGGGTAAAAGAAAGCACTAAGAAAAGGTCCGAGGATTCAAAGACATGTCCTTACTTTCACCAGCTAGATGCTTTATACAAAGGAAAAACTAGAAGGATTGGTGGCTCAGTTAATTCTGGTTATGAATTAAAGCCTGAGGAACTTTTGATGCAGATGATGGGTGCCCAAGAAGAACAACTGCATCAAGAATCAGCAATGGATGATGGTGGAAGTGAGAATGCTGATAAGAATCTGAAAGAAAAGGGAAGCACTGAAGAAAGAGATGCATATCAAATTGTAGCCTAATGATCCTACTCCAATGGCAATTATTGCTTGATTGAGAAAAATAGTGGAACTTTCTTTTTGAGAGCCTAAATTTTGTTAAGTGGGTCAGGGTCCGTAGTTTAGTCATTAGTGTCTGTATAATAGTCTTGTGGGGAGCAGATTTCAGTTTTGACAAGTTTCTTTTGATACAACCTGGAGGCATCTGGGTAAATGGTATCTGTGATTAAATGTATATTTTCATCATTCCTTTGAATAAACTTGTGAGGTTAAGGGAGAGAGTGGAATAAAAAGGCTGTGTGTAAACTATAGTACTTTTTCAAATACACCTTTCCTTTTCTTTATTTTTTTGGCTTTTGAAAGGTGTTTGTTTAATTCAGTGTAGGCTTGCATCGGCAGTAATGCTACAATTGAAAAAAGGTTTGCACTTTTTGACATAGGAGTAATTGAAATCACCCGTGCGCCGTCAGTTGGTAAATGATTGGGTAAGAAAAACCTTTACAGATCAGATCATCCTGGCTACATGTTTCTTAGATTGTTGCTAATACAGTATTTCCATTTGGGGTTCACCACTTCTGCTTACACTTTTCCAGGCTTCTTTCATATGAAATTCTTTAAATGGGATTTGAGAGGTTTCTTTCCATTTGTCATTACGTCAATTATAGCTGATAATTGATCCCTAAAGACGTAAATAACTGATAATTTTACTACAAAATAATTCTTTTTACTTTGCTCTTTGTTTTGGGGAATGGTTATGAGAATTGAAATATAATACCTGTATATTTATTTCGATGATAGCATTGCTTGTGACATGTTTATAATGAACAGTAAATTTTGTTGGAATAAAACCAATGCTTCATTTGGTAACGGAGAAAATAAAAGTAAAAGAAAAATTGAGCGGACAACTAAAAAAAAATTGATTAGTTTAGTTGAACGAGAGATTTTAGTTTTTAATTGAGCATTTAGTCTAATATAGAAAAGGAGACATAGTTAAAAGGGTCCCACAGTCCAGAAAAAAAGTGGCGTCAATCTTCCGTCACAAAGTTTTATTGGCTGTGGGGTTGTTGAAGGATTGATTTCAAAATCCATAGGGCCGACATTTTACTTGCTTTACCCTCAAGAAGGACAAAATAAAGCAAAACAAAACAAAAAACATGGAAGCCGTGGAGAACCTCAGCCCCTCCGGCCTGACCATGACTGAATCAAGGAATAAATATGGCCCTTAAGATTATGTGAGTGGACTAAGTCACTTCCTAAGTTATTATTATTATTATTATTAAAAGTCTTATATTTGATATTTCCACTATTATTAAATATTAAAAAATTATTTGATAAACGATTAGTAAAAATTTTTAATTTTATAAGTAAATTTAATAAAATAATACATTCTATTTCTTTTTTAAATTAATTTTTTTATTTTTTAAATATACATTAAGAGATATATGTCATAATAGTAACTTTGTTTATGAAATTAAAAAATTTTAGTATCAATATATTTGATAATATATATTTATATATGAGAGAGATCAATATACATAATATAAAAGTAAAAAAGTTTTATATATTTTTGTAATCATTAATTTTAATAAATTTAAGAGATGAAAGATATTAGTAAAAATAAGAAAATTTTTTTTTAATTTCATCATTTGAATATATTGAAACCAATAGTTAAAAAATATAAGTAAAATTAAAAAAAAGTTGATTTTAAAATCAATATTTAAAAAAGTGTAAAATTTTAATTTTACACTGATATAATCTGATTCTTATTTTCTTATATATATATATATATATATATATATCATACTCTTTCTATAAATCCTATTTCATCACTTCAAGACTGTTAAATATCAAATTCTAACCACTGAAGTATCTATTTGAAAACACTTTCTTTTTTAATTTGGTCAGACTTAATCCTTGAATAACATGCTATAATTTTGTAGTCAATACTACTGATGCTATAACTAGTTAATTTGGTTCTTTATTGTTTGGACTTTCGAATAAAAACGTATTCTACGACGACGAGTTCCATACGAATTTAAATCACACAGAGCCCTGATCCCTTTCCTTCTTTGGACATCAATGGCAGCCTATTAGCCAACACATCATCAAACTCACCACCACCACCAAACAAATCTCAAAAGAAACTGCTCTCCGCTGTCCAACTTCATTTTGAGAAAACCCTGGAAAAGAAAAGAGCTATAGAGCTCCAAAAGGAGCTTAATAAGCTTTTCCAGCTCTTCTTCCTCTTCCTAGGGCTTATCTTCGTGGCTCAGGCTCAGTCTACTGGGCTCACATCTGCTTTACTTGTCGCGTCTTATTTCTTCTGTCTCATTGGCTCAAATTTTGTGATGCATCAATGAGTTCAAGTACCAGAGGTGTCACAAGCTGACTCTTGGGTTGGCTACTGAGAAACTGAGGGAGACAAACTTTGGGTATTAACGATGGTGAGTTTGTTTATGGGTTTAGAGAAGAGGGTGAGTTTGAGATACATTACCAGGAATCTCCTGATAGTTACTTTGCCCAGTTCAAGAGGAACTTGTCATTGCATTTTGGGTTCTTGATCTTTGATCTATTATCTTCGTGGTTTCTTGTTTTGTATAAACAAAGTTACATTTGTCAACTTTATCTATCGCATCTTTCATGTAACATACTGGTATATGCTTTTTTTGGATTTTGAATAAAATCTTCATTTATAAAAAAAAAATATAATTAATACCAATTTCTATTATCGGGCTCACAAATGGTAAGAGTATAAATTTAATAATTTTGATTTTGTAAAAAAAAATTGGAATACTTCATAATTCTCCTTGAAATTAAGCAAGATTTTGATGCCTTGGCCCTATATTCCCTGTAAAAGCCAAATCCCTTTCTCACCATATCAGGGGCAATAATATCCAAATGCTATTTCCAAAGGAAAAAAGAAAGGTAAATATGATCCTGAACAAGTAAAAAAGAAAAAAGGAAATGAAATAATAAGACATTTTAGGCAAATTTCCCTCCGGAGTTCCATGCTGTAATTCACAGTCCAAACCCATCCAGTACTCAATACAGGCTGTTTTCTGATTAACCTTATGAATATATGCATGTATACCTTTTATGTTGCAAAATTAAATTTAGATCATAAACAATTTCCATGAAAGTTTTTGAGTAAGAAATCATCATCAAGATTTTTGATATTGAAGTTTTACAATCCCTGTTCCCTTAAAATTTAATTTATGGCACATTGTCAATTGTTGGGCCAAAAACTAAAATTTTGGAAGAGCCAACTTAGTGAAGACAATTGACTATGAAGAAGATAAAAATAGATAAGAAAATAATTCAATCATACACCTATTCTAGATTGTAGTAGCTATTCTCTGAGACCACTTACTTGGAGCTGTAAGCATTTGAAAACACCAACGACCTCAGGCTAAAGCATGACATAATGATTTGTATGCATCAACCCAGAGCTTAAATTTCTCTTCAGCCATCACCTGCATAAATATCATCTAACTATCACAAACCAAATTTAAAAAAGGAAAATGAAAAAAAAAAAAAAAAAGAAAAGGGAAAGAAAAGAGAAATAAATCACAAAAAAGAATGGATCAGCTCTGCTAAATCAAGTGCATAAACATTATCCTCAAATAGGATCCCCTGCCCCCTGCTTCCCCTCAAACTCTCCCAAAAACAAATAAAGAAATACAAAAACACACAAGATGACAGAAACACGACACATTTGATAAACCAGAAATGAAAATCCAGAAATTTTGTTTTGATGAGCAGCCACTAATAAATTATGCAATGTCTGTGTATGAAGCGCCTTGAAATGTTGGAGAATATTCATAAAACTACCACCCACCATTCAATAATATAAAAATAACATTGGAAATTCTAAACTAACCTGTGAAGGACCTTGATGCTTATCAGGATGCCACTTTAACGCTGATAGGCGGAAGCTGCAAGTTGATTTTAATAATTTTAGAATATATACATAAAAAAGAATTGGAGCAAAGGAAAACTTAAATATGTCTAATCTTTAAGGTGACAGGCCTCTCAAAAATCAAGTTGAGCGAAAGCACTAAAGTCTTATGCATTCTTAGCATCTTCAATCTTTAAGGGGCCCATTGGAGGCAAACCAAGGATTGCACTATCAGAACATGATCCTACAGCATAAGACTCATCTTTTACTAGGAGACTCTTCTCTTTTGTACTTTGACTGGTCCAGCCTGATTTTTCTCTCCACTCAAATCCAGATTCTGAATTTTGAAAAGAAGAATCTCCCCTAGAAGACCAAGTATACCATTTGATCCCAAATGTAGCTTCAAGATTGTCTCAGGATGATCAAAGTCCTCAGAGAAACTCTTTCTTCTAAACCTTCCTGTGCATATAACAAAAAGGACATCCAGTTTGTCGAATCACAAATAAGAGCAAGCAATCATAAAACATTCGCACCAATAATCCAGACATGGCTTTGGTTTTTTACCTTTGAAACCAGATGTAGCTAGTTTTTAATCTCTTACTGCATAAAGAACCGATGAAAACATCATAACAACATCACATAACCACAGAGGTTGCTCTTTAAAAAGATAAATTTTAATATTAGATGATATCTCAGTATTATTGTCGCAAAAAATTGGATGATGTCCAAGTATTATATACAACAAGAAGTTTTCATAACAAACTATAGTTCTGAGTTTAAGTAAGCCATCTTGACTTAAATTCTTATGCATCTGATGGATAAATACAATCTTAGTGAATAAGGAAAATATTTTGCTGCCCAAGCTGTAAAACAGAATTCAGTTGCTTCTCAATATTACGATGAGGCCCACATTCTATTCAGCAAAATAAAGTTTTTCCACTGATGGGTATGCAACTGTTACATAACAGGAAAATTAATTGGCATTTCACTAATGATATTAGATGCTACTTTGAAACAACCTACTGTGGAGGCTCAAGGACCCACATTCAGATCCCCTTTCCATCCATTTTTTGTTCAATCGTGTATCCAAAAGAGACAACATTCAATTACTTTAGAAATAATGTCATAAGTCTGAGTAATTACTCATTGCTTTGAAATAATAGATAGATGGATAAAACTTAGGATTAGACTAATCAAGGCAGATTATTAATAAGCAGAAGAGAAATTTAAAGTTATTTTATAGACACGTGGATCATACCAGATTTAAGCCATCAAATACACTAATTATGATGCTTAGATAAACACCCCCCCCCCCCCCTGAGTTAGCAGAATTTAAGATGAAATATGGAACGCAGTTCTGCTAAAAATAGTGCATAAAGGATGCATTTTTTTAAAATTTCATTTCAAGAAACAAGAAGAGGAAAGAAATAAAAGAAAAAAGAAAGAGGAAGCTTATGTTTTTTTTTTTTTTTTTTTGTGGTTAGATTTCCCAGCATGTAGTCCAGAAAACCTTGACCACCGCTTCTTACCAGAGCCATCTGAATCCTGGCTTTTTGTCCCATTAAATTTCCATATTGGATCTTCATCCTAGATAGCAGCCAAAGGCAAAGTTTATATTTTAATTTCACATACTAATGAAGAGTGTAAGCTCAATCTCTGGTACAATGTAATGTAGAAGGAAGATAAAGGCATTCGGGCTTTAAATACACGAGGTCAATGGTTGACTTGGTAAATGAATGACATTCAGGCTTACACACACTTAGTCCACTCGCTTTTAAAAACAAGAGATCCAACCATTCATCATTCTCACAAAACTGCAACCTCAGTCTGTCAATGGCCTAAGTGAAATCATAAGCTTCTTCTATACTCAGATCCTAGATTCACATTTTATGAGAATATTGTATGAAAAATAAAAATAAAATTATGCTAAATTTAAATGACAACAATGCCGATGATAAAGAAACTAAAACTAATTTCAAGGCATACACCTATGTTCAAAACACCAACTTGCTTTACCCTTACAACTTTTTGTAATGTAAACATACTGCATACAGGTTACTTCTCATAGTAGATGATAGAATGACAATGCCAAACCAGGAAATGTGGTTTTATGAGCCTACTGGCGATGTAGGTTGATTGTATTGATCTTTTTGCTTACAAGATCAGCATCCAATATTGGCCCCACCAAAGAAAAGAATTTAGATTTGGTCCTATCCTAAATAAATAATTTGCCTAGGGAGTAGTACAATCCTTTAAAATCCATAAATCCTGAAGATTGAGTACGAAAGTGGTGTTAATCCATGAATTGTTCAATAATCCACATGTTTTGAAAAGTTCTGACAAGCTTAGGACCTAGAACCCATTTTATTTGATACAGCAATTGCTGAGAAATACCATGGTTTAATGATCCGTAGACACCCTAATTGGTCCAGATCTAAGTCCATTGGACCTAATCCAACAAGGTTTGGGCCTAAGCCTATCAGACTTGGCTCAGTGGGATATAGGTGCCAGGCCCAATTGTTTATTGCTTTCTTATGGGCTTTATTTTATTTATTTTTCTTTTCATTTTAGTTAATGATAGGATAATAAAAAATAAAACTTCTGGCGTGTTTAGGGGTGATGGCAGAGTTACAATTGGTCTTAATTTCCTTAGGTTTAGGGATAATGCAGGAATCCAATCAAAGGTGAGATTTAGAGTTAATTAGGAACTCTCCTAATCCAATCTATAAATATCCCTATTGATCAGAGGCAAAGGAGATAGAAACACAGAAACACAAAACACAGCAAGTAGAGAGAAAGAAAAAATTTTCGGATTTTCGAGCTGTCGTTTGTGCCTGTAGTCGAGCCGTTTTTGTTTTTCTTTGGTATTTTATTTATTTATTTTATTTAGTATTTTTCTTAGTTTTTTTTTCCTTCTTAGTACTTTTTTTTCTTTTCTTTCATGATTAAATTTAGAAAAAAAATAATAAAATAAATTTTGGGAATAAATATTAATTATCAAATGATGAATTTATAGAAATTTCAAACGGTAAATTTCTATAAAATTCCTAGATGAGAAATTTTGTCTAAATTTGTCCCAAATTGTGGAATAATTTAGATAAAGTTTCAATAACAATAATTAACATTTATTTTCAAACCAAAAAAAATAAAAAATAAAAAAAACATAAAAATATAAAAATCTTTAGAATTAAATACAAATTACCCAATGATGAGATTCTTAAAAATTTCAAATGGTAAGTTCCTAAGAAATCTTTAGGTGAGAAATTGCCTCTAGATTTGGCCCAAATGGTGAAATAATTTAGATAAAATTTCAATACAAATAATTGTATTCTTTTCCAAATAATAAATTTTGGTTGAAAATATGTGATAATTATCCAAGGATGAGATCTTTAGGAATTTCAAATGGTAAATTCTTAAGAAATCTCTAAGTGAGAAATTTTCTCTAAATTTGATCCAAAATGGTTGAATAATTTAGATAAAATTTCAATAAAGGTAATTGTCATATTATTTTCTTTCCAAAAAAAAAAAGAATTTCTAAATAGGCCTAAATGGTGAAATAATTTAGAAATTCAAAACAAGAAAATATTTCTAATTTGGCCTAAATGATGGAATAATTAGATACATTTTCAACAAAAAATAAAATTAACAAAAATTTTTCTGATGACAGAGCCTCTTCAAAGAAACAAATGGGACCCTTGAATACTCTTGAGGTGAGAAAATATTTCTAATAGATTGATGAAAAAATCTTATAAATTATTTTCAATATTTAACATAAAAATTTAAAACCATTAGTCTCAAGACCCTAGGATAAATTTAAAATAATATGGTACCATCCTTTAGATGGGCATGTGGGGGTGCTATAACCTTCCCCACATGTAACCTAACTCCCGAACCCTATTCTGGTTAGAAGATCGAACCTATTCTTTTAGGGACCCTTAGTCAAGCTTAGGAGAACCCTAAAAGGATAGATTACTTAGGTGGCCAATCACACCTAGTTAAAAAAGATTGGTAGCAACTCCATCCATTTTGTTAAGTCTAGCTATAGATTTATGGATCTATATGTTATGATAGGATCTATAACCTTTTGAATAACTTAAGTTTTGGAGAATAATATGGTAAATAAATTTTGAACCTTGCTTCTCAATAACCAATTGCATCGTTAACTAAAATGGAAATTATCAATCAGCATTGTGATCCATTATGCAGGTGCTTTCTTCTCTTCAACAACTTAAGCATTACTATAATTCTTTAGAACCTTTCAATTAACACTCTTCTGGTTTAACATATCTAAAAAAATTAAAAATTTGCAAAATCAAAGATAAAAAACTTTGGTTAGCAAACATGAATGAATATGTATGTAACAATTTATCAATATATGCTATCTCTTTGGGTGTTCTCGCCCTCTAAATATTTCGAAAAAAGATAAATATGTGCTTAGTCCATAGGATCCTACCTTTTACCATGAGATGGCACGATCTGGTAACTGACATGTCAAAACATTTACAATTTGGCCAATTCATAATCCATTTGGTTAAAGAACACTTACAGGGTTCTAAAACTTTCAGCAGAAGCAAAATTAAATTTGGATAAAACCATATAAATTAGATGCTAGAAACTGAAACTCCAAAGCACTGGGAAGACTATTGGTCCATTGTTTGCAAAATAATTGAAAAACTTCCTAATAAATCAGAAAAAGCAAATAAAAGTTGGAATAAAACCATAAAAAAAGTATTACAATCTAATTATGCCATAACTATAAAATAAACGGTGCATCAGGAAGACTGCAGTCCACATCTTGAATAAGATCAGGGTTCTAAATCAAACAGAAGTCCAGCAAACTTTACCTGAAATGAAATATTTGAGGAACCGGTATTAAAGAGAAGGTCTTTTAGAGCTCTCTTTGTGTCAGCTCGCTTTTGATGTACTGCATATCTTACGTAATTCTGCATTGAATATTTGAAATGTTAGAGAAGTTCTAATTTTTTTTTATAAACAAATAAAGTAAGGAAGAAAACTGCCAGATGAAGACAAAAAGTTCACAGCAAAGCTACTTAGGAAGTATGAAATTAACAAATAGCAACATTTTAAGCCATTAGCAGATAAGGCCCATCACCTGATCAATGTGAACATTCAAATTAATCATGGGGTTTCTTTTTCTGAGATGCATTAGGTTTTTATTTGCACTATAAATTGCTAGGAATGTTCCCAGTCCAAGTAAGATAAGATAACTGCTTTGGAAATCAACATTAAAGATAATATAAAGAATAAATCTAGAAATGTGATGGTAGAGCTCAGTTATCCTCAGTATACAGGCTTGACCTCGTATTTATTCTGCTAAAAGTTATCAGAAAATTACCAATCTTAAGACATGCCTGTATGATATACTAGAAACAAGATAATTACGAGATGCATGCACATAATTACACAAATAGACGCCCTCAAAGCTGCATAACTTGCTTGTTGTGCTCTTCTTTCATCCTGCAAAATAGTTTTAGTTGTCAAATTTCACTATACAATTTGAAGTACTATTTTTCACTAAATATTAATCTCAACAATAGCATCCATCAAACATCACCAAGCAGAGATTTTTAATATAAAATCAAGCATGAAACATTGAAACTAAATTTTCTTAATTTAATTTTGATGTTAGCACACAGCAATTCACACAGCAGAACAAGACTATTTTTTTCATTGAAGAAATGCCACCAATCTTGCTTATACAAATTCGTGAACTTGCAATTTCAGATACCCTATTTAAAGCTATTCAATTAAAAATGAAAATCCAAACTCTCACTAAACTCACTCATAGCATTCAACAAATGAGAATAAATAAACCAAGGAAAAGAACAAGACTCACAAAATTCCATTTGCTCTTCCATTTTTCAAAGGTACCAGGCGTAGAATGAAATGGAGCAACGTGGGTCTTTGCAAAAGTAGCCGTTGGTTTTGAAGGTAAGAAAGCTGGAACCAATGAATTCTTGAGTAGAAACACGTTTCACCATCTGGGTATTTGCATAATCGATGAAATCAAGACAAAACCAACTCTCTTCAATATTCGCAGCACCAATCAATTTGGGCTAATCTTTAGACAGAGGAAGCTTTGGGTTTTCATTTTTTGTGGTAAAAAGAATTGGTTTTATCTATTATAAGTAACAAAAAGGTGATCTTTTCGTGGTGATTGAAGAGAACAAAGGCCGCGTTGGTCTCTTCCCCTTGTTTTTCTTGGTTGTATTGCATCTGTTTAGCTGTTGAGCTGAAATATACCTTTGAAGTTTAAACTTCAAAGCACGGATTTTGGGTTGAATTGTTCTTGGGCCATTGCAGAGAAAGCCGAGTAAACTGACTGAAACGTCCGAAATCAAGGGAACCAAAGCCAAGCCCAATAGTAACCAAAGCCGAACTCCATTATCTATATGCTCTCATTCAATTTCATAAAAAAGATTAATAAAAATATTATTGTAAATATAAAATTAAATATATTTATTGTGATATTTTATATTTTTTATAATAATATTTTTATTTTAAAAATTAAAAAAAATCTACATCTGTATAGGAAAATTACTTTCAAAACCTCATATTTTTATTATGAGGCTTACCAAATGGTCAGTTGCTATAAAAATTTATGTTGTAGAATTGATGGTGAAAATGACGGACGGAGAAAAGGATAATGATGAAGAAAATGAAAGCTAGTATTTGTAGCAGAAAAAATAAAGAAGGGCAAGCTCAAAGAGAGGCAAAATGTTGTCAGAGGTACTGAAATGATAATCCCGTACGTGGGCCAAGCAGACAATTGTGAACATATGAAAGTTGTCATTGCTTGGAGGATCAATTTTGTTTTCTTTTTGTTCGTTATGAAAAACAATTATTTGTTCAAGATTTAATTTAATTAATTTATATAATTATTTTAGAAAGTTATGTTTATTAATTTTAAAGTTTAAATTTAATTATTTATAATTATTTATTATGAAATTATGATTTTAAAAAATAATTATTCGTTTTGTTAAAGAGAAAATTACTGCAAGGGAAACAAGAAGAGAAAAAGAAAAAAGAAATAGATTCTACATGGTGAGAATGATCAGAGAAAAAATAAAAAATATATACAAGCTCCATTCGTTTTGTTGAAATTGATTTTTAGAGAATATCTTTTGATGTTTGGATAAATTAATAAAAAATATTTTTTATTGTTTGATTATTTTTTTAAAAAATTATTTCTTTTTTCAAATAATATTAATATAACTATTAAAATATTAAAAATTATTTATATAAAGTATATTGAAATTATTAATTATTAAAATTATTAATATTTGAAGAATAATTATATTTTAATAATAATATTTAATATTAAAATATTATATTAATATAAAATACTTAAAATAAAACTATTTATTATTTTTATATTAATATTTTAAAATATTTAAAATAATATTACTATTCTTAAAATATTATTTTTATTAAAATTAAAATTATAATATTTATTCTTAAAATATTTATATTTTATATTGCAAGTATCTATTATTAAATCATAAAAAAATCTTTTTTATATTTATTATTAAAATTGTAATATAAATACCTTAATAAATATAAATATAAAATTATATATTTTTAGTTAAAAATAATAAAAAATTATTAAAATATTCATATTAAGAAAATAATATTATTTTTTATTTAACATTAATTATGAAAATAATAAAAATATTATTATATGTTATTATTTATTATTCAAATAATAATATAATACTAGTTATTATTAAAATATTAAAAATATTTATGTTTAATAATATACAAAATAAAATATTTAAAATTGAAATATAAAAGACCTTTGATGTTAATATTTTAATATTTTAATTAAAATTAAGAAAATATATTTATTAATATAATAATATTTTAAATCAAATTAAATTAAGTTCAAACTTAAAATATTATGTTCAAAGTTTTCATTGAGCAAAAGTATAAAAATATTAAATATTAAAATATTAAAAAACTTTTAATATTAATATTTTAATATTTTAAGTAAAAATAAATAAAAATATTATTTATTAATATAACAATATTTTGGTCTCATCAAATTAATTTTGAGTTAAAAAAAATTATGTACAAGGTTTGACTTGAGTAAAATTATGCTCAAACACATTGATAAGTAATTCTACTTATAAACAACTATTTTTCAAAAATTATCTTCTTTCTTTAAAAAGGATAACACAATTTTCAAAAAAATTATCTTATTTTTTATTGCCCAATAAATTATTTTTTATTGATCAATCATTTTTTGCGAAACAAACTAAGCCATAATCTATAAATTATTCCATAACTACAAAATTTACATTTTATTTCATTATTTCTTCCTATTCCTAGTGGGAAGTAAAAGAATGTTCTCAAAGAGCTAAGGGGGTTGGAATAATGAATATGGATTATTATTCTATATATCAGTATTTGAAAACTAAAATTTTATAAATAGTTAAACACTTGCTACATGCACATCTAGCTAAATATTTCATATTTTATCTAAATAATCTGGTGTTAACTTCCATAAATTTTTTGAAGTATTAACTTCTTCCATATTTTTAGTTCAATGGATACGTGGTAAAATGTTGAATTCCTTTATGAAAATTTTAATCTTCTTCAAGAATGGATAAGATAATAATAATATTCAATAAAGAAAATTTTCTCCAAGAGGGTTGTCATATATCCATTAAGGTTTATTTTTAAAAAATTAAAAAATTTGTATGATAAACAAAAGACATGTAGTAATATTTTAATTTACTTATAAATAAAAAGGTGGTATATCATCATCTTACAAATATATATTTGCATCTAATAGGTAGCGGTAAATACAATATATGATTATATATTACTATATTGTATATTTTTAGATTATGTTTGATGTAAAGGATAATGAATAAGATATGATGATAATCATCTTGTATCATATTTGGTTTGTATATAAAGAAAGTGATAAGACTGCATGAAAGATTAATTATTCTCTTAGTGTAAGATAATTCAATCATCTCTAAGTGAAAATGATTATTTTTTAATTCATAGGATTAAACTTATATATCTAATTATATCTTTAAAAATTATATCAGTAATTTAAATTATAAAAATTTTGAAAAAAATAATTTATTCAATTATCATTAGGGTTGGGTAAATTAAGAACTTCTAGTTTCATAGCTTCCTAATGATTAAGACAACTAATCAACTAAGAATTCTCATCATCATTAACATAAATCACATAGTATTTATTTTGAGAAGAAAAGCTATAGGGATTATTTATCCCAAAAAAAAAAAAATTATAGGAATAATTAATAAATAAATAACTATGTAAGTGACTCAAGAAATATGTATCAAGAGTGAGGATTTTTTTTTTTCTGGCAATACCGCTTATCACTTTGAAACTCACACGTAAGAAAACTACTTTTATTTAGGTCAGAGTTAAAGAATTGTCATTTATCACATATTTTATTTGCATATATTTTAAAATATAATAAGTTCATATAAAAATAAATAGGAAATGTGACAATATGAATCAAAACCTTTCCTTACAAAATCTCCATGAGATTGATTTTGTTTAAAAAAAAAAGGTAACAAATTAATGGAAAGCAATTATATATATGCAGGAAGAGAGTGGAGTAATGGGCAACACGGTGTAATTTTAGGGACACCACGTATCTTAGTTCTTTTCCTAATTGACTTTATGAATATCCTTGAACGAAGGGATATCATTTCAGCATATTCCGCCGCCCCGGAAACAACGCAACCCCTGTTCCATATTCTGCTTCTCTCTGTCTCTGTGTCTCTCTTATTTCCTTATTGTCGTTCATATCTTGAAGTAGAGATTTGGTAACGTGGGTTCTCTTCTGCTGATAAAGTGTTAATTTTTTAGTTTCCATAATCAAAATTTAATTTTTAATAGTTTCAGTTATAAAAAAAGCTTCCTCTAACAGTTGAAATATTTTTTTTTGTTTAAATTTTGAGGAAAATTTTATATATATACACAACCATTATTAAATCAAATGCTTGAGTGTAATGTTAAAACATGATATTTATTAAAATGCTAAAAAAAATGATTACGAAATAGGTGTGAAACAAATTAATTAAAAATAATGCCAGAATATGAAATAATAAATTAAATCGTAAAAAGCATTAACGTGTCTTTATTTAGTTGCGTTTTTTATAAAAATGCGGAAAAAAAATTAAAATAATTAAAGATAGATCTACATAGCTAGTGCAATATGAGATGAATTTTTTAAGTTTCAAATTGTATTATTTAAAAAAAAAAGTTTCAAATTTGTATTATATACAATTTAATATGAAATAGATAACTGGGAATCGAATAAGATGAACTCTATGCTTTCAAAATTTAAATAATTACAATTTAACATGTGACAGATAATTAGGATAAATTTTTTTTTGAAAATTTTTATATTTGAATAATATATATAATAACATAAATTTAGGTTTTGTCATATGGAGATGTCTACATAAGCATTTACATAAATAAATGTTATCAAGCTGTCATATTTGTCATTAGAAGGAAATGTTCATGTAAGCATTCATGTATTCAAATTTTATCATAACTTAGTATTTTGTTATATTTTATATATTTATATTTATGACATATAGAAGGACAAACCATCCAAAGAAACCAAAATAAATAACCACAAACTTAAAATTTTTTTTGGCATGAAAATATATGAATAAAAATCATTTAGACTTTATATTTTTTAAAAAACATTTTAATCAATAATGGTTAAGATATATTTGAATAATTGATCTGTCATTGAATAAATTTTTTGATTTTATATTATTTTTATTTTGCTTTCCATGAAATAAAATGTAACTTCAAAACTGATCATTAATTGAATCATAATTGTTGCCTTGTCGTGATGGAAGAATTTCTCCAATGTGATAAATATTTTTCTGAACAGGGGAGTCTGAGTCCAATATATTCATGGAATATGTACATATAAAAAGTTTGACAGAGAATAAAAGCCCCGCCTCAGTTTTACAACCTATTTCCATGAATGCCATGGTCCACGTTCCTTTCACATCCATCCACGGCTGAATAAATGGATAGTTTCAAAAGGGAAAAACTATGGCCAACTCATGTTACTCGATTTCTTCCATGGTCCGCAAACAAAAATTAAGAAACCCTCCACCATCTGTTTCGCTTCCTAATCCAAATTTGATAAACTTTTCTTCATCAAATACAAATTTTTTTTTCTCTTGACAACGCTTCAACAAATTAGACTACGAAAAGCTTTACAGCTTGAGACACCTGTTATTATTAGACAAATAATTTCTTGGAACGTTAATAAAATCTTTCAATCTGTTTCTGTTGTCGGTTTGTCTATTTTCTGTCTCTTTTCATTGGTTTTTTACCGCAGAACATTCGTCGGAAGCCAACGAAATTTCCCTATAAATCTCCTAAATCTTCTCTTTCTCTCTTCTTCAATCTTCCTCTCACTCACCCAAACAGGTGAAGGCAAAAAAAAAAAAAAAAGAAACAATATTAAAGAAGAACGATTTTAGAATAAGCTCTCTGGTTTTGAACCCTGAGGAAACATGGGAGGTTGTGCTACCAAGCCTAAGGCTTTGAAGGATGATGAAGGGGAGGTCCCGGTACCAGATCCTGAGCCGACGAAAGAGCCTGTCCCTGCGGTTCCTGAAGCAAAGGAAGCTGCTGATGTTGCTACAGAAGGTGAAAAGAAGGCGGAAGCTGATGTTGTTAATGAGATTGTTAAGGCCAAGGAGGTTGTTAATGATGACAAGGTTGATGATCAAGCAAATAAGAGACAATCTCTTAGTAACTTGTTCAAAGAGGTATCTGTTTCTAATTCTATAACTATATGTATACGTTTTAAAGCATTTTTATGGTATAATTGAAGAAAGGCATTGACATTTGAAACTGAATATACTAAATTTGATGAATTTGATCAATGGGATTCTTGATCTTTTGACACCAATTAATTATGTCGTTATATCAATTTTGAACATTTGATTTAGTGGTTGATGCGATTTCGTTAAAGCAGGATGATAGGATTATTCATTTGAATACGGTCATATCCGTCCTTTCAATATGTTGGTTGTTTAATGGCTTCTTTCTCCTGGCTCTTTCATTGAATTATAAATGGTTTTGTACCGTTTCTTTAGGTAAGAAAGTGAAAGTAAAGGAAAGATTCAAAGTAAAATAATTCCTCGTATGGTTTTGGTTTGATATTGACAATCTAGAGTCGAAGCATGAGATTAAAAGAAAAAGGATATTTCTCAGTAGTCTAACCATGTTTAAACTGACCCCATATCTTTTTGCTTGTCTGATATCCTGTCCATATCAATAATTTATTAGCCCTAACACATTGTGGTGAATTTTTCAACATAAAATTTTGGCCGTCTCTTATGTGTTGTTTGGATGTAATTATGAGCACCAACGTCGATAGATATTAGATGATTTGAGCATATTGTACCGCTTCGTTAAGGATTTCCTGTACTGGTACGTTCTTTTCATTAGGTGCTTTATGATTTCTATCATTTTGGAATGCATCTGAAACTCTTTCTAGACATCCTTATTTGTAAAGCTTCATCGATGTCGGATCCTTATGTTTGTTTTCTTCTCAAAATATTGCACAGTGAATCCAAACTCCGAATCATGAAAAATATCTAAAGGTTTTTTTTTTTTTTTTTGGCCAGGCAAAAGATAAAAGAAAAATTAGTGGTTCATACTTTTGCAATAAAGATGCGCAAGGCAAGAGCCCAAGTGTTCTTCTATTTGGGCTGATGAAAATGGTCTCACCAAAATAGGATTTATGTTTAGTCAAAGATGCATTAGCTTGAACACTATTTCGAGGCAATAATAAGTTCTATTTGTTGGATTAAAGAAATTAACTGCAACGAGTCCAATGATTCATTCATGCAGTAAAAAGGATCCTAGATAAAAACACTAAATCATTTGGCATCGTTAAATGATTTTTGTTTGATAGACTTCAGCAACTGTGGGGTTCTTCCATTAGTTTAACTCGTGTTCTTTGCAGAATGAAAAGAAAGGGTCAGCTGAGAGTGATAACACACCATCAGAGCAAACCAAAAGTGAATCACTGGAGTCAGTGAAACAAGAATCACTGGAGCCTGTAAAAATCGAATCACTGGCGCCTGTGCAAATAAAATCTGTGGAGCCTGTGAAACAGGAACCAGAGAAGCAGGCACCATCAGATACTACTGATAAACTAAAAGAGGCCTACGTGACTATGGATCAGGAAACTAAGGAACCTGAAAAGCCAACTGAACAGACCTACAAGCCAGAGCCTGTGTCTGTTGCTCCTAGAAAGATTGAATCAGTACAATCAATTGAAGCCAAACCAGCACCCGAGGCAGCAGCAGCAGCAGCTGTGAATGTTCTTGAGACAAAAAACAAGGAAACATCAGCCGACGATAAGAAAGGGAAGAAAGAAGTAGCAAAGTGAAGTTTGAACAGTAATGAAGTGTGATATACGAAGAATGAAAAAGACTGATATATTGTTGGCTGGATAAAATACATTTGCTGTTTACTCTACGAAGTAAAGCTGCTAGAGAAATTGTTGTAAGAGACTAGTAGTTCGCTTGTTTTAGGCGGCTTCCGAGTGCACTTGTTTTTGCTATTCTGAAATACTTATTATCTTTCATCTGAGTTTGTTTTCGATATTTTCTACTTATTCATATGGACAAATGGGATTGTTAGATTGATATATGAGCATAGATTTTGTTTATGTACCAGAACACTGTTTTTCTAACCACTGCGAGTATGATCAATACTATGAACTTCTAGCAGCTATGCATTAGCTAGAAACTGAAATAAAATGCTGAGAGATGCTTAAACAAAACAAGTTGAGATTGATTACCGTTTTGTAATGGAGAAGCCTGCTTGTAAACATTTGTTAGTTCTTTTGATTGTTTCTAAGATCAAGTTGCAAATGTACTCAGGCCATAAGCTCCACTCCTTTGAGTTCAAGTTTAATGTTCTTCACAGATCATTGAGCCTGACGGGCACTATTGAAGATGAAGTGGCTGTGACTTGTCTTCACCTGCAAAATCTTTCAGGCCAAGTGTACTTCAAGGGGACCAAGCCCTAAAAATATTCTCAATTGTGCATTGACAGCATGAAAAACAATAAGAGAAGATAAAAAACTACAATTAATTGGGATTCTTAGTGATAATTATTTTGGTTGCCCCCTTAATTATTATTTTAATGTTATCATAGAGTAAGTTAAGAGGAAAATACTTTCCCAAATAATTACAATTAAGGGGTAACTTGATCCTTAATCATTGTAATATTTTAGGAGGGAAAACAAATGTTTCATTACAGTTTTCCTTTTTCTTTCCCTTTTGAAAAGGGTGGTAGTGCAGTACTGTCCGATAAAATAATTACAGAAGTCCTCAATTTTCTTCTAGCATTAGATGGGCAAGAATTAATGTTTGTGATCCTCATCAGGGTCTTAAACCAGTGATAATTAATGTTGCTGGTTCAAGCAGTAGTTGCTGGAGTAAATGTCTTCTACAATTTGCTGTTTACCTTATCGAATAAATCTGTTGCATCATAATAGTTCTACACGAATAGATAAACAGGAATCTAATCCCAGATTAGTACATAAAGTTGTGTTTAAAGGCTTAGGAAAGCTGGAAACTTTAATTCTAATGTTAGCAGTTATTAGTTGAATACATGATCCACGGAAGGGATTTTACTGGTGTTCTAGCCTACAATAGCATGCATTCCACGCAATTCTCGCTGCAAGGGAAGTTTAGGATTTGACTCTGGAAGCTCTGGCAGCGCATGATATATAGCTCTGTAGAACAATTAATCTCCATTTTCTCTCTCTATAAGAAGCTGTAGAACGTACACTCTGTCATAAACTTTTAGAATATCTGCATACAAAGATATTTGTTAAATCATATATCATATTAATTTTACGGTAGTAATAATTTTGTTTAATAGTATTATAGAGTTTATTTACTTGGAAAAATACAAAAGGTAATTAATATAATACATTTCATTAAAGCCTTTGCTTTTCTTAATATTTGTTTAAAACTTAATGATATTATTTACTCAAAATGTAAAATTGTTTCACTCCATGTTTTTTTTTTTTTTTTGTGTGTAATACCGGGTCAACAACTAGCAAAGGATGTGCCGTGGGAACAACAAAGCAGCATCCATGTTGAGGATCATTTTAATTTCAAGAGGTAGATCACGAGAGACATTCAAGTCAGGAGCTTGATCACGACTCTATTTGACCATCCAATCAGCAGCAAAATTCTTTTCTCTAGGCACACTCCCAAGTGTCTTTGAGCACATCTGAATGGCTTCAATAAGATGATAAAGTGGATGATTATGCCGGACCCCTTCTTTAATGTATCTTATAGCAATGAGAGATTCCGATTTTATTTCCAACATTGATAATCCCTAGCTTTTTTTGTCAGAGTAATACCATGAAATAAGGCCCAAAGTTCAGCACCATCAATATTACAACTACCAAGAGAGGAAGAAAAGCCTGCAATCCAGTTTCTATATTCACCCCTTAACGCTCCTCCATTTCAAGCTTTGCACTGTTATTGTTTCCAATATCCATCAGTATTGATTTTGACCCAACCTGGAGGTGGTTTGGCCCATAAAAGTAGAATTTCCTATTTTTCTTATCTATGAGACTATCAATCTTGAGATTGTACCATTCTCTAAACATTTTATGAATGGTGGCGGGATGGTTGTATTATCAAAGATGTTTTAATTTCTCGAGTCCCGTATCATCCATACAACATTAGCAAACAAAATAGGCCAATCCCAATTACCCACCTTTAGACCTTTTCATTTTTTGAGATTGAGGGTTGTCGTGCGGGCTCAAGAACCTGACTGCCGGACTTGAGGAATAAAAATGAACGGAGACTAAAAGGTATTTTTGATAAAAACCAAAACAAGGAGTTGTCACCAATCTTTTTAAGATATGATTGGTTACACAGTCTTTTTATGAAACATTTAAAACGGATTTAAAGTTTTATAAAAGAACATTTTGTGGTCTACAAAAACAAAGTTGGTTCTAAGAGTCAGTTACATGTGAAAAAGGATTAGCAACCTTATAGCACCTATTGAAGACATAATCAATTACTTACATGCTCCTTAGATTTTGATAAAAGTAATCATATTTTTAATGTTTAAAAATTAATTCCTTTGTTTATTCCAAAAATCAAATCTCTTTTTTTTTTTAAAGGCAAATCATTTTTATTTGTTTTGAAAAAAAAAAAGCAAAACAATTTTTTTTGGATCAAGATGAAAATGTCTTCAGTATCAACACACCTTTTTCATTTTCTTATATTTAGGTAGAACTTCAAAAATATTTTTAACTTGGGAATTTTTAAATTGTCTCATAAAATCGAGATAACACCTTACGTAAATAATAACCATTAAAAGTTCCTTATATTTAGGCCAAATTCTCAAAGGTTATATTTACTTGATATCATCTTATTTAAAAATATTTTTTTAAAAAAAATGTTATTTATGAAACATATGTATGGAATGCATGAACATAATAATAATATATGATGAATGCATGACACTTAAATATGAATGATAAAATATGAATGCATGACACTTAAAGAATGCATGTGACAACAAAATAAAAATGAAAATGCAAATGTATGAGTGGGATCAAATTGATTTTAAGGTTTGAGTGTTGGTCTAAGGTTTGGGGTTAATTAAGGGTTTAGGTTAGGGTTTTGATTTTAGGTTTAAGGTTAAGGGTTTGGTTTGGGGTTTAGGGCTTAGGGTTTAGATTTAGTGTTTAGGGTTATGGTTTAGGGTTAGGGTTTAGGATTTAGAGTTTAGAGTTTGGTTTAGGGTTTAGGGTTTAGGGTTTAGTTTAGGGTTTTGGAATGCATGAAAGAAAATTACCAAAATACCATTGATAAAAATGCAAAGAGAAGTGCTAAAAACACCCCCATTTTTCTCTTCACATCCTAACTTTTTTTTTTCAAAATTTTTGTTAATGAAATTACTTAATTACCCTTCTTACAACTTTCTAAAGTTTTTATAACTTGTCGGAAATGGATTTTTGGAAAGTCATATGGCTTTCTAGAAATCCATTTCCAAAAGATGAGATAGTGAAAATTTTACTTAAAATGTTTATTAAATTTTCATTATCACACCTTCCATAACTTTCTGAAAATCCATTTTCGGAAATGTTTATAATATTCTGGAAAATTTTATAGTATTCTAAAAATTTATTTTTGAAAAGTTATATGATTTTCTTGAAATTCATTTTCGAAAAGATTTAGAATTTTTTTGAAATTTAATTCCAGAAACTTGTGTGAAAGAGAAAAGGTAATTAAATAATTTCACTTACAAAAAAATTTGAAAAAAAAAAGCTGGGGTGTGAAGAGAAAAAGGTTGGGGTGATTTAGCACCTCTCAAATGCAAACTTTGATACATGTAACAAAATTACCAAAATACCATTGATAAAAATGCAAACTTTGATGCATGAGAATAATGTGACAAAAATTACCAAAAATGCCATTAATGAAAATGCAAACTCTAATGCATAGACCATGTATAAAAATGAATGTATTACAAACTTAGGCATATTTACAAATATATTACAAACTAAACATGTATGCAACAATAAGGTAAAAGAGATCATAGACTAAAGGTTTTAAAAAATTTAAAGATATGTTTCACCAATTTTTTTTTTTTTTTGTTTTGAAATAAAACATATGCAAATAATATAAAATCACCAAAACATCTACCAATCCATCATTTTTATTCATTGAAGATTTCATCAAACACATAGCTAATATAAAAAATAAATAAAAAACTCAAGCAAGCAAAAATTATGTAAGCAACATTTAGCCATTTCATAAAAAAGGGATTTAATGGTGGAATTTTTCTATTTCTTGATCCATTTTGTTTCAAACATAAACTATTGATTAATTGATTGAATTGTTGGATCAAGCTAGGAGTTATGGATGAAAACAACTATGGAGAGAATTGTTCCTCTTTGAAAAATTATAAAACTCTAACAAAACTAACATAGAAAAACATAGAAACTATCATGAATATGCATGGAAGTAAAGAGAGATGTATATATCTTCCAAAGCTTATCTCAATCTTTCTTTTTTTCCTTTTTTTTTCTCCCTTTTCTCAGCTAATTTCCAGCAGCCTCCTCCCTCCCTTTCCAACTTTAAATGGTGAAATCTCATAAAAGTGAATAATAGCCCTTAGATTGATTTTTCATCTAATGGTCATCTTTTCTCTTTTGTTTTCTTTGTAAAGAGTCACCTTTCACCATTGGTTCCCACCCCTCAAAATCATCCCACGGCTCAAAATACTTGTGGCCAAAGATTGCATTTTTAATGCCGCTAGAACAATGTGAAATGACCAATCTACTTCACATTAGAAAGTTTTTAGTTTCTTTGTAATTTTGTTGGAGAATCATGATCTTTTCTTTATTTTTGTGATTTTAAAGCATAAAAAATCCTCAAATAATATGAAATTTTGATTTGAAAGTTTTTGTGAAAAATTAAGCTCAGGAAGGTTAAATTACAAAATTACTCTTTAAGGGTATTTTAGTAATTTCATAACTTTTGAAGTGCGATAAATGTTTTTAATGCATAAAAAAAATCATCAAATAACATGAAAACATGATCTGAAATGTTTACAAAAAACAACCCCAGAAAGGTCAAATTATGAAAATACCCTTAGGAGTATTTTCATAATTTCATATATTCTAAAGTGTGAACAAGGTTTTTAAGGCACTAAAAATCATGAAATAATATAAAACCATAATTTGGAGTGTTTCGCGAAAAACCAATCTTAGAGTCAAATTATGAGAATAAC